ACTAGTTGAACTAATTTTCAGTGCCACAATTCAGTCATAGATTTATAAACGAAATATGTACAGAAGTAACTTTCTTCACTGTTACCCATAGCCAATTCAATATATTTGTGATTTATGCCAGTTTTCCTGGGTTTCTAGACATTTGAATCAGTTTTTGTTTTAAAAACAACATACAAACTTTAACCAATGCAAAGATCAACATTTCCTGTGCCTGCACCAAACTATATTTCTCAAGTCAATACAACCTTGTGCCTTTCTCTTCTTTATTTTTTTGCTTTTTATTTTAAAATAACATACTTAGAAACATTATAAAGGTACTGTCGGACCAGATGAAATTTGAATTAACTGCATGTTAGCATTAAAATTAGGACCTGGCATCAAATGGTTGTAGAACACTTTTTAAGACACACAGCATCTTATATAATCCCAGCATTGTATTTTTATGTTATCTTTTGTCACAATATCTCATAATAATGATTTTCTCAGTAACTCCATGAATTAGGCAATTCAAGAAATTGAAGCTTAACAGTTTACACTCTCAGCTCTGAATAAATCTTTACCTTTAATAAATAAGGGTCCAGTACCAGCCTTGTTACTCTCACTTTAGCTGTTTGGTGCATTTTGGTTCCAATTACTTTCCCTATGATCCATTTTGCATGAACAACTCCACGTAATGCAGACATGGCTTGGTTGCTAACATTCAGGTATTCTGTAAAATAAATGTAAGCATAATTTTAGTAAAGAACTTTCGTGCATTGTTGAAGCCAACACACCTAAAACCTTCTGCTAAAATATAATTTTTCCTATATTTCAACTTTCTTCTTAGAAATGATTTATTATGATTAATATAGTTATCCATCTCACACAATTGATTATGGGCAGCTTACAAGATTAAAACAATAACCCTGCTAGACAATTCCTTGGTGCCTAAGAAAACCCTCAACTTACCCATAACAACAGAGCCCATTTACTTTTTACCCAAATACTTGGGGGAACAGCTAGTTCTTCAATGCCTTGCAAAAGGCTAACAAGGTTGGAGTAATCTGAATCTCCAGAGGATACTGTTCCCTAGGGCAGGTGGAGCCAGGCTCCATAAAGATTACACTATGTAATAGAAGGGACTGAGAACGTACTACAGATAGTGAGGTGGGCAGAAATAATGGGAGGTGTCCCACAAATAACCTGGTCTATGATCGTTATAGATAACGACCAGCACCTTGAATTGCACCCAAGAGCCTACTGGGAGTCAGTACAGCTTACAGAGCTGGGTTACAAGGAATGCCAAAAACTGCCTATACCACTGCATTCTGGACCACCTGCAGCTTTTGCGTGCACTTCAAGGGCAGCCCCATGTACAGTATGTTACAGTAATCCAAGCAGATGAGTCTCCATAAGCAAGTGACTGCTGGCCCAGGAAGGTGTGCAATTGGTGCACAAGACAAATCTGTACAAGACCCCCTCTGGCTATCACCTGGGGACTTCTGGGATTTGAAGACCACACATCCTGAAGTTGCTGAGGTTTGAGAAACAACCGGTGCAGGAGTAAGGAGTATGAGGCACGTTTGCCGCTTTGAGTTATTTATAAAAAATAAGAGTGGGATATAAAATAATTATCATTCTGACATCAACATTAGAACTCTTCTCTACCGGTGATCTTAAAGGAGGTGCCGGACGGGAGATAACACTCGAAATTAACTGCCTCCCAGTACGGCTCCCACGAATCCGCCGTTCCCGTTTGGTTCTCACCCCCACAGAGGGAGGAAAACACCACTTTCTCCGGGTCCCGGATGACCCATTTGCGCCCCCTCCCTCGAAGTCATTCAAAGCCCTTACTCTCTCTGCTCGGTCTCAAGACTGGAAACCGGGAGGTGGGATCCAAAAAAGGAAAAGGCGGAGTCAGAGCCGGAAGGATCGCCGTTTCCGTAAAAGGAGGGGGTGTGGCTGCCGCTGCCGCCGCCGCCGCGGCTTTGAGCGGCTGCGGGCGTGAAGCGTTCCGGGTTCGAGGATGGGCGGCTTTGGGTGGAGAAGCTGGCGATGTAATTGAAAGCGACATGGTTTTGAGAAGCGTTTCTTTGATAACGATTGGGAAAGCAAAATTCAATGCAATCGAAGCTTTTTCTAACTTGCAGAGGTCTTGTAGATTGGCTTCCTCCCTCTTGCATTTTTTAATTTTTTTTTAAATCATAAATAACTCAAAGCGTCTAAGCAATTCTAAAGCATCTAAAGCATTTCTCCTCCTGTTTTGCCCACAGCAGTAACGCTTAGAGGTAAGTTGGGCTGAGAGTGACCTGCCCGAAGTCACATGACCGGCTCTCATGCCTAAAGTGGGACTAGAACTAGCCGTTTCCTGGTTTCTGGCCTGGCGCCTTAATCATTAGATCAAAGTGGCTTTTGTGCGTCATTGAAAGCTGTTTTCGTGGGGGTACCAAATATCTTTTGATCTCTTTTTAAATGGTATTTTTTCTGGTAATGCTTATGCTTTTAACAATTACATGATAATACAAAAACTAATGTCACTGTAGGTGGCAGCACCGGTTCCTCTTTTTAAAGTGATCCTTAAAAACTAAACGGGATCACAGTTGGTTAATAGTTGTATGAAAGATCAGTGTGGGGTGTCACTAGATTGGACACTTAATATTATGTTGGAAAAAGACAAGGGCGAACCATGTACATATTGTTGCCAAGAAAATAATCACTTCCTGATTGGAGCATTGTAATATACTCCACATGGAGTTACCGTTGAAGAGTATCTGGACTTCAGCTGTGCAAAGTGTAATACCCCCCACCCCTAGGCAGTTATGTCTGTTTCTAGTAGAATTCACATTAGTCTTCTGCTCTACAAGCTTCATTGGTTACTGTTCTGTTTCCAGGTCCAATTCAAAGTGCAGATTTTGATCTATGTAACATGGGACCAAATTACTTGAGGGACTGCCTCTCCTGGACTATATCTGCCCCTTCCCCTCAGATCCTGTCTACTGGGGAGCTACATTTGGCAGGATTGAGTAAGCTAGGTTTAGAAGGTCTTTTCTGCTGTGGCACCTGTGCTGTGTAATACCCTCCCCCCTGAGGTGAGACTGGCTCCATCACTTTTGACTTTATGAAAGTCCTCAAGACCTGACTATGCCATCAGGTTGGGCACTCCAGGAGACTAGTGAAATAGCTCCTTTATTAACATCCCTCCACCTATTTCTTTTTATTTTTTATTTTACAATTTTTAATGTTTTGCAATAATTGTTATGGATATTATCTATTTTAGCATTGTTGTACACTGTCCAGAATCACTTATTTTGTGAAATAGGTAGCTATACAAATTTGAAAAATAAAAATGTTGCTGTGTCATGTGAGCATAGCAAGGCACAATTTAGTGTTGTGTGTTGTGTAAGCCACACCTAGTTTGATCCAGTGTGTCATGCAATCCAAGAATATGAATTTAATTGAGTAAGGTCATGGTTGCATTAATGTGTTATTTGAACACATTGTTTGAAAGCCAAAATGTGAATGTTGTTTGGGGCTGAAATGAGAAAACTATTAAGTTTTGAGTAAGTAGATCAACAATTGACATGGAAGTACTATTCCCTACATAGTAGTATACGGTAATATTTATGTAAGATAGCTAAGAATCCTGTATGTTGTGTTTCAGACATAATCTGTACAGTACCAGGTTGGAGAAGATTATACTAAATTTACTGTCTACCTTCTGACCCAAGTTGTATTTTGAAGAACGCTTAATATGTCTATTACTTAAACTGTCTAACTTTCAAATGCCATCTCACAACATGGATTCCCCAGTCCAATCAGATAGGAAGGCCAAGAAAAGCTTCAAATAGTCTTTGGATACGGCTGCCCAAGATGGTATCACCTCTCTTAATTCTGAAGTCCTTGAAGTAGCTGATTCAACACAAATCAGCCTCCCAGATAGAAAATATTGAACTTACATACTTAAACATCTTGTCTAGAGCACATTTTGAACAACTAGATTCTATGGTAAGATAGTGGGAGGTTCTGTGGAGTTCCATTTGAAGAAAGATTGTGTATCTAGTGTTGAAGACATCACAGATATCCTGTATAATTGCAAATTACTTTCTGCAAAAAGGATTATTTACTTAGATCCTTATTTAGAAACTAAAACAAATATTGAGATACTCAGATGAAACTATCTTATTTCCTGCAGGGAATGAACCTTTATATCACTAGCAAGACAAACGTTTAAATCAAAGGCTGTTTCAAAGAGGATCGACTACCTAAATAGATAGGGTTTGAATGCAAAAATGATGATTATGAGTACTGCTTGCACTGTATTGATTTTAAAGTTTTTCATATGATTACATGACTTAAGGAATAAAATTTGTTGTTTACCTTCTGAGGTCTGCTTCAAATTTACTTCTTTTCCAACATGCCAACTATGGAATTCATGCACGTGAGATATTCTGGGACATTCTTTTTGCAATGAGGCACCACCAGGCACTTACTGCCTTGTTATTTGACTAAGAGCAACATTTCTCAACTTTAGGAATCTGAAGATGTATGAACTACAAGTCCCAGAATTCCCCAATCAGCATGAGAAAAATGCAATAGAGCAGGGGTCCCCAACCCCCGGTCTATGGACCGGCACTGATCTGCAGCATGCCAGCAAACGGGCGCACAAACAAGCAAAGCTCCATCCTCGGGATGCAGGCAGTATTCAAAATGACAACCCCCCCTGGTCCGCGAAAAAACCTTTCTCCATGGCACCGGTCCCTGGTGCCCAAAAGGTTGGGACTTCTACGATAGAGAATGCCCAACATATCTGTGCAGCTACCCCATTGAGAGAAAACATATGATTGCAACATTTCATAGAGGACTTCCTAAATGCACTTGAGTATTTACTATAAGTTTCCAAGAGGCATCAGATGTCCTGTCTGAATGTCACTTATGGAGAAAAAAAAAAGGGGTGTTTATGCTTTGTCTTTGGATATTTGCTCACTTGGAGATTATAATTTATTTTGCTTCTACAAATGCTGGTCTGCTTATTGTTTAAAGTTTTACTTGTAGTTTCTCTGGAGCAAGGAAATTTTTGGTTGCATTGATACAAAACACTAGCATTGAACATGGGCATCTAGCTTATTAGTGGGTAGCATGAAGACGGTTGATTCTGTTCAATAAACCATGATTCAATTAACAATGGATAAGCACATATGCAAACACAGCCTTTCGTTACTAAAATTCAGGCTGAGTATATACCCCTTTCCTTTTTTCTTCTTTTAGCATTTGTGTGTGTACACTCCTTGACTTAAAACCACTCATTTAGTGACTGTTCAAAATTACAATGGCACTGAAAACAGTGACATGACCATTTTTAAACTTATAATTGCTTCAGTATCCCCATAATCACATGATCAACTTTCAGATGCTTGGCAACTGGCATGTATTTATGACTGTTGCAATCTCCCAGGGTCAGGTGATCACCTTTTGCAACCTGATAAGTAAAGTCAATGGGGAAACCAGGTTTACTTAACCATGTTACAAACTTAACAACTGCAGTGATTCACTTAACTCCAGCAAGAAAGGTTGTAAATTGGGGAAGACTCCCTTAAGAATTGTCTTGCTTAGCAACAGAAATTTTGGGCTCGATTGTGGTCATAAGTCAAGGATACCTGTATATAAAAACTAAAGCAGTTTTTTTTGAAAGAAACAAAAAACTTACAGCATCTTAAAGCCTAGCAGTTGTACTATGGTAAATATCTAAATATCTACATATCTAAAACAGATATTGAAAGAGCTTTCATAGGGGTAGTCAATTTGGTTTCTGAAATTCCCTTTTTCTACATCTTAGTTTTATTTATATTTTGTATTTCTTAACTGCCCATCTCCCTCAAAGGAAGCTGTTTTGTATACTTTAAAATTTTTATGCAGTTGGCTATATCTATATTATCTATATATTTGTAGTAAAGATTTCCCTGTCTAGTTATGATTGACTCTTGGCCGAGGGAGCCAGCATGGTCGGAAAACATTTTCCATAATCATGTGGCTAACGTGGCTACAAGCCAAAGGTGCATGGAGTGCTGCTACATTCCCACTGAAGTGGTACCTATTAATCTACTTGCATTTGCATGCTTTCAAACTGCTAGGTGAGCAGGAGCTGAGGCAGGAATGGGAGCTCACCCCATCGTGCGGCACTTGGGTCTCAAACCTGGGTTATCAGCTGACAAGCTCAACTTCTCTAACTACTAAGCCATGTGCCCCCTCTTATACATACATACATGCACCTTTGTATATACACACACACGTATCTATGTATATGTATACACAAACAAGTATGCATGTATATTTGGTATCTTTGTTATTTGCAAGCCCTTATGTGAAGCTGTTCAACTGAAAAGCAGGATATAAATATAGGGAACAAGAAGCATGTAAAAGATGGTTCAGTACACGTTATCTTCAGTGTCCTCTGAAATGGACAGATGGAGAAATAAGACACAATTAGTCATGTTTATCATACTTTACACATTACGAATATTGATGCTATGTCTATTGTTAATTATTAATTCTGCCGAACTTAGAAGGAAAGAGTGGATTATAATGATGTTAGAAGACCTTGGAGTTTTTCCCCTTGTGGTAAACAGTATTTAAGAACTCACAGGGATGGTAAAGTGGGCGGAGTCTAAAGAGCACCCAGGCAGGAAATGGTTCCCCCCCCCCATCACCTGGGAAAGTAAATTCTTTGATTTCTCTGAAGGCAGTCCAGCTGACATGCTCCAGTTTAGAGCAAACAAAGGAAGGGGAGTCGCTGACAGATCAGTCCTTGGATCTTATTTCTCCCCAGCGACGATGCACGTGTGGGCTACAAATTGCAACTTCGGGGACATTGTTTTTAGATCCTCTTGAATCAGGGAAGGGATTTTAGGACGCCAATTTGACTTCAGCCGTGAAATTTAAGCGTGCAAAGCACACCGAGTGGTAAGAAAACAATTGGACCAGGTCTTTCTTTCTCTGCAGTTTTATGTGGGGAGGGGGAGGAGAGAGAGATTTCTAGCAACAGCATTATAAAACTAGCACCATGTATGTGAAGCGGGAGATAACGCTAGATTTACTAAGAGGTTTCTGCTTCTTAAAATGTGTATTAATTTATAATCTCAGATTCAGGAATGGAAAACAGTGACAGATACAGCTGTGTGAGAAAGACACATACATATTCTGTGTCTTTAAAACCATGCTGGACATTTCTTTCTGTCTTCTCATTCTTTTTTCTGTCGCTCTCTTGACATGGACCACGGTTCATATTGGCGCCTTTACTCTTTCACGCGGGGACTTCTGTGATCCTCTGCTCTCTCTCTCCTGCCGGATCCTCCCCACATTTCTCCAGGGAAGCTTTGGGGTGATCTGTCATTTCGCGTGATCTCTCAGGCAGAGTAACTCTCTTTTTCAAAGAGCCGGCATCCTTTCTTCTTCCTCGCCCTGTGCAAAAAAATACGGGGTCGCTGCGAGTTTTCTTTCTTATGCGTGGGTTGGTTGTCCAAGGTATTTGATCCATTCAGGCAGCCCTATCCAAGACCTGACCCCCGACTCTTAATATTGTCCAGAATAACTGAGGTGGGAACCCTAAACCCCAAAGTCCTTGACTCACTTCCAGTCCAACTATGAATTCATATAGCAGAGTTACCTAATTAGCCTCGTTTGCAAAATGGGAACGTGCTTCTGAACTATTTTAAGAGGGAGACAATGTAATAGCATTCGCCCTTAGGTCAAGACTTTTGGGTCTCACGGTCTACTTTTGCTTGGCTATTGGAGACCTTTACATAAAGAATACATACTATTTACATATTATTTTTATGAGTTGTGAACTTCAGGGGGTGGAAGTGGCAGTACCCTTCACCCCTTTGTTGTTGACTATGCCAAAAATGCCATCTTAGTGCTAATGTTGGCATGACATTCAACCTCTGGTCCAGTTGGATTTTGTACATGGGGGCTGTTTCTGTTATCTATCTCAGGCAGCAAAATGGTTTAAGCTGCTCATGCCTGATTTGAGAGACTGGCTACATTCTTGCTGCTGGAACCCAATGTGCTCTATTCTGCAGGTGTTAATATTATTCTGTTTTATATGCCAACAGTTTTTTTTAAGCTTTTCTGCACTCTTTTGGAGTTGAATTCTGTTTACATGTTTTTTTTAATCTGCTGTTTTGCGTATTTATGTTCATTTTATTCAGTTTTAACTCTTCATTGGGGGAACTCTCTAAGGTCAATGTTCAGTAGAAAGACGGAATGCAGATGAGTTATTTACCACCCTTAAAACATGATATTTAAATTAGGGTTGTAATGAATTGATTAAATGAATGGATTTAAAAACATTTGTATTAACCAGAAAAGGTTTCCCAGGTAACACTTAGTCCTTGAAAATGCAGAAATCCAACAGAAGCTGAGAGCATCATGTGAACAAATTACTATATTGTAGTGGCATTACTTCTCAGAGATTGCATTAGAGTAATTTGTGAGTCTGTCCACTGCTTCTGAATTCTCTTTGCTTGCTGTTCTCTCCACACCCCTTAAAATCAAGCCCCCCCCCTTCTCCAACATTTGGATAGGTCAGTTGCATAAATCAGAAAAGATGGGATATACAGTCACCAACATTTGCGTGACTCCCCAAAGCACTGGGAAAGCTTTGGGCACAGAAATATAGACAGGAGGAAAGCCTCATAGGGTTTAATGTAAGCTATTGAATTAAGTTGTACACGTATTTAGCTGACTTCATAGGACAGTTACTTTACTTTTTTTATCTTCCTGGTTTTCACAAACTATTTGCATTCCCTAGTAAATTCAGCCTATTTTTAGTCCCACAAATATTCAATAAATTTATTGACACTGTCCAATTAACATGGCCTTCGGGTTGGATCCTTTCCATGACGTATTTTTATCTGCTTCCAAAGAGATCTTCCAAATGTCATTTCAGGATATTATTGCCTGCAGCCTTCAATTGAAAGGAAAATAAACTTGTTCTTTGGCTAAAAGAGGGAGTTTATTTCTGATGAATGTCTGGGCTTGTTTCTCTCCGGGTGTTATCTTGGCTTAAAGCTTATGTTATTTTTGGTGCCTAAGGCACCAATAGTTAAAAGTTTTGCTACCTTTTAATATTCTCACCAGGGTATCCACAGTGGTTGAAAAAGTCAAGGTGGTGGCCACAACAATGTGATCGAAGTTCTGTCTAGCATTTTATTTATGAATCAAATTTATATAGCCACCCGTCTCACAAGAATTTTATAACTATTGATAGTTGCGATAAGTTCTGCTTATTGGGATAACTACCACTTTGGATGATTTTCAAGAGAATGGGTCAAATTAATGAATGGTTGTTTGCCATGATAGTAATACAGAAATATGCTGCTAAATATTATTTACTAAGGTGAAAGATTTGAGAGCTTTTTGAAAACATCTGGCTGGCCTTCAAAGGAAAGAGGAGGTTTTTTGACAGGACTCTTAGAGATAAACCAGAAGCTTGCTGATAAGACTCTTTGAGATAAGAGTGATTAGTCAAAGTGATGGTGAACCATGAATCTATCAGAAGCTAAATTCAACTTCCAGATTCAGCAGCATTATATCTGGACATGGTATTAGAAGTCAAAAGAAGATTGTTTCTAAGTAAATTTACTTTAGAGTATGTTGCTAATTATATATATATTTTTCAGACCATTTCTTCCGTTGTGCAGCTGCAGGCAGTCTTAAAAATATGTCTATCACGGGGCTAAAGAAGAAGCAGCCCAAAATGTTTAAAGTGAAAGTTTCAACAATGGAAGCTGAAATGGAGTTCAGCTGTGAGGTATTTTGTTGTTGTGTTGATTTTTAAAGGCCAGAATTTTTGTCTAGATGACATAAGATTTATATACCTATTTACTGTCTCAAAAAAGCATCTCTCTCTGGATGTAGAAAGCTGATATATCAAGGAAAAGATTACATTGAATGCCTTTTTCTGACATGCTAATTGTCCATTTGCAGGGATTTATGTAAATATGATTTTTAAAAATAATCCTCCTTATCACTGGATTAAACTGCTGTAATTGCAATGATTTTCAAGCTGCCTCTTACCTGGTTCATGTGCCATTCACTGATCTGAGTATTTATTTAAGAATATATGTTCTGTCTCTGAGTGCCTGTTAGAACTTTGCCACTTCTCTATCAGTCTCTGCTTATGGCAGATAATTTCTGATGTGTTATCAATCTCAGAGGAGACACAGCTGTCTTTTCTTCCAACTGGATAATCTGCTTAGATCAATGACAAGATGAAACACAATAATTGGGCCCTCTAAATGTACAGAGTTTCTAGCTATAGAAATCAAGTGCTTCTAGTTTAATTCAGTAATGAAACTTGGAGAACATTGGCTGACTGAAGTTGTCCATAATTTAGATCTCTAAAAGAATGGGGGGGGGGGAGAGGCAGCAGAACTGGTGTTCTTGTTGAGACTTGTTTTTGAAGCTACCTTGGCATTATCACATCCCATGTGTGCTAAGAATTAGAATTTGAAGGTTCTTCCTTCTCCAGCCCACTGAGTTAAATGTGGGGCTTTTGTGGGAGAACAATTCATAAAGGTATTTATATAGACCTTGAGTATGCTGAAAGGAAAACAGAAGTTTAGAATATAAGTCTCTACTTCTGAGATAACAAGCAGGGAAGCAAGCAAAGATTTGAAGCCTTGGTTCTAGGGAATCTACAAGCATACAGGCAATCCTTGACTTACGACCATTCATTTAGTGACTCTTAATTTACAATGGCACTGAAAAAATTGACCGTTTTTTACCCTTATGATCGTGATCAAAATTCAGGTGTTTGGCAACTGACATGTATTATTACAGTTGCACTGTTATGGAGTCATGTAATCACCATTTGTAACCTTCCCAGTCAGCTTCCGACAATAGCAATAGCATTTAGACTTATATACCGCTCCATAATGCTTTACAGCCCTCTCTAAATGGTTTACAGAATCAGCATATTGCCCACAATAATCTGGGTCCTCATTTTACCAACCTCAGGAGGATGGAAGACTGAGTCAACCTTGAGCCAGTGAGGATCAAACTGCTGGCAGTCGGCAGAATTAACCTGCAATACTACATTCTAACCACTGTATCACTATGGCTCTCAAGCAAAGTCAATGGAGGAAGCCAGATTCACTTAACAACTGCTGTGATTCATTTAACAGCTGTGGTATAAAAGGTTGCAAAAGTGGGGCACAACTGACTTAACAACTGTCTTGCTTAGCAATGGAACTCTTGGGCTCAACTGTGGATTTAAGTTGAGGATTGCCTGTAATAATATGATAATAACCTGTGGTAAGATGGGCAGCTAATAAATTTGATTGATAAATAAATAAATAAATACTAACTAACATTGTAATATAAGAGAAGGCTGTGTTCTAAACCTGCAGTACTACAGGCTTTGCTTTCTAGGGTAGCCAAATAAATACTGGTGTAAACTAAGAAGCACATAACAGAGTTTTGGAATTTTGGATTCTTTTCCCAACTACACAAAGCCTTGCTTAATTATTATTCTGTTTGATGTTGCCATACAGCAGCATGGGGAATTCTGGGAGTTGACACATCTTAAAGTTGCTGAAGTTGAGAAACATTGCTATATAACTTTGGAACCTAAAGACTGGAAACGCTAAATCATCTTCTGAATTCACATATCATGCTATGCTTTGTTGGTGATTTGTTTAGTAATAATTTATGAATTCAGCCCCAAACAACACTCTAAACCACAAAGCATGGTTCACCAATTAAAACTGCAGGATGAATTCATACATCATGCTAAGCACATGCAAATAAACCATGTTATAAAAGCAAAATGAGTAAATTCCGCTATTTTGTTGAAGATGAAGAACACAAAAAAACCCTCTAACTTCTAATTTTCTTAAAAGCCAAAATTATGCAATTTGAATTTTGCACAACATCAGAGGCTCTGGCATTTCTATTTTTACACCTAGTTGAGATCATGTATTTAGAATACCTCAGGAATAGAGCATCTTTTTTCACACTCAGATTATTGCCCTTGCTATCCATTCTAAACTGATTTTGTTCCATTGCAACCCACAGATGAAATGGAAAGGAAAAGACCTGTTTGACCAGGTGTGTCGTGCATTGGGGCTGCGAGAATCCTGGTACTTTGGTCTCTGGTACTCCGTCAAAGGAATGGGCATTTGGTTGAAGATGGATAAAAAGGTTTGGAATCTAAACGTTCATTGTAAAATAATACTTCCTGAGTTGGAAAGACCTAAAGATATTCTAAAAGTTTTCTTCAGAGATGGCCAGTTTTTTTTTTTTAAATGGCTCAGGATCTCAGTTTGTTTTAAAGGAGGGATGGAAGGGCCTTAAGGAGCCAGGCCAGGCAAAGTAAGGAACTCCCTGTTTTGAGAGTATTTGGGTGAATAAAGCAGCTTACCTTTGATGTAAAAAAAGGAAAGTGCACCACCACAATTTTAATGGTGAAATTGGGTGTGTGTTTAGAGGGGTCAGAAGACCTGAAAAACATATCAGGGAGACGCCATCTATGCCCATCCTTGATTTACAATGATAATTTGTAAACGTAAATGGTGGTTAGGCCAAGAAACACATGTACATATTCATATTCATGTGCCACATTCATATTACATTCCCTCTACCCCCTTTAGCTAATTAGAATCCTCTTTGTCTCTAGACTAGAATATGAATGTAATCAGAATGCTACTAAACCAGTGACTCATCATTTATCTTAACTGTCTTTTCAGTCTTCCACTGAAACTGTCTGGAGAAGGGAAGTACTATAGGGATTAGCACCATTGACAAGATCTTTCTCCTCTTACTTTCCCCCAGGCCCCAAAAAAAGGGGATGGGGAAGAGATATATGCATTTGTATCAATCAGTTCACATGCAAAGTGAGATGGGAAACAATGGGAAAGACTTAAGAAATGTGTATTTGTATATCTGAAATGGTTTGGGAGGGGCAAATGTGGAGGAAAGCCTTCCTCAATTTGGTCATTTTTTCCCCCCTGAGTAAGAAAGGATGAGGATCAGAACATAAAAACG